CGGCTTTGAAGTCAATCAGATGTGGATTTCAGTTCTACCTCCACCACTGACCAGTTATATGTCTTTGAGCAAATTATTAAAAATCTCTAAACCTCAGTTTACTGTAAAGTAGAAAAATATTATCTACCTCATAGCGTTGCTGGCATGGTTACACAGAATAATATATGTAAAGCATTTTGTAGATGTTCTAATACATGGCAAGCTCTACATAAAAATATAATACAGTATAATATGATTAGTAATATACTCTGATGGTCTGTGAATCATATGCCTCGTATTTATGGGTAATCTTGCACTCCATCAGATTTCAGGAAAATCTCCCATATTTTCCATTCACATAAATTCAACAAGGAGCACCTTAAAATGTAACTTTAAACAAGGTTTAACCAAGCTGAGGTTTTAATTAGATTGAACATACTCTTACCCGATGCCATGTATTCAGTCCATTACCTCCTGGATACTATTTACCTACTTCATTGACAAATGGCAAGGATGGCGTCAACATAAATTAAAGTGAGAGTTAAAGGCATTCTGTGTTGAACTATTGCAGAAAACCCAGAGTTTACAAGAGGACTGAGGGCGGTTTTGCTGAATCAGGGTGGTTAAAATCCTTTCTGGGAGCAAACCATTCCACTCCCATGAGTCAGTGAACTCTTTAGAAACACTGAGAACTACCTGCTATGCTCAGAGAAGTCTTAGGAAAGATTAACTTACATTACATGGTCTAACAGTCTGCTCCTAGCCAGTAATTTTCCCACCTCAATTCATCTTCATAGGTTTGTTGTGGTAATACTTTGGCCACGAATTTATAACTGGAAAATATACAGAGTCACTTTTAACCCCATTTACTCAGATATAACCAGTGTATAATTCAGTATAATTAACATAATGGCTTTTCCAGAAGGATATTTCATTGTCCTTATTTATTCACTGGCTATATACTTAGGCAACTCCAATTCAGACTCTTAATTTTTTATATGTAAAATAAAAGCATTATGACTGATTTTGTCAAAACTCCACCTAACCTTAATATTCAGTGAATCTCTGAATCTAATGCTGGAGTCTGCAGAGTTTAGACTTTATAGAGGTTAATTATTGTTATAAAAGTGAATGAACTTTTTCAAAAATATCTTCTCTATAACTGAGCAATTCAACCTAGAGAAATTTCTCATAAGGAAATAAGTTTTACATAAGATTATGATTTATCTATGGAGATATTTATCTACATGGCTATAAATAAATACGATCACAATGTTTAATATAATAATAAAACATTAGGTACAGTTAACTAACAACAAATAAAAAATAACTAGTTATTGTACATTCATATGTAGACTAACACACAGCCATTTAAAAATTATAGAAGACCCGTTAATAACATAGAGAAAAGGTCACTGTTAGGTGAAGAAAAGCAAGTAACTAGTCAATAGGATACATGCCAATATATTTTAATAAAAATCTATAGTACTATATATAAATCTATAGTACTTGTTTATCTACATATAAATAAACACTAATACTCTACAATTCAATTAACTAAGTAATGTCGTGAGTGGTGGGATTGCCTGTGATTTTTATTTCCATATTAAGTTTATATTGCCTTTTCCAGATTTTTAAACAATGAACTGGTATTATTTTTAAAGTTCAGAAAAAAAAATTCTTGTTTTTGGTGGCAGAAATGGACACATTTTTCTCTTTCATTCCTGAAAGGATTCTTAAAAGTATCTTCTCTGCCCATCTCAGGTTCTCTTTTGCTTCAATGACAGGTACTTTCTGGACTCATACTGGCAATTAGTAAGTCCAGAATATCAAAGAAACATTCTCATCGGCCTCTTATCCTCTAAAACATTTCCATTTTAGATTTCTGCATCTCTGCCTGCACCACCCATACTTTCCAGCTGCTGGGCCCTGCCTTCCATCAGTCCGTCCACTGAGAATTCTTTCTTCCATCTCAGTCTTTTGAAATTCTGATCCTCCTTCAAGACTTGGCTCAAATGTCTCTTACTCCATCCTGTCTTTGTATTTCTATTGATCTCTCCCACAGTGGTTTCTCCAATGTGCAATTACATTTCCTGCTCTGTGCTGACAACGGGAGCTTGCAGGATTAAAGGGTAGCAAAGAGTGTGAGGAATCGGTGAATGAATGTTCCACCAGAAGAGGGCAGTAATTCCTCAGCTCCAGCCAATTTCTCCAGAGTGGGAATACGGGTCTAATGTTGTCAGGCCTTTCAATATGTCAAGAAAAACAAGAAATCCACATACATAAATTTTTTTTTGGCTGTGTCAGCTCTTAGTTGCAGCATATGGGATCTTTCATTGCAGCACGTGGTCTCTTCATTGCTGCACGCGGGCTTCTCTCTAGTTGTGGCGTGCGGGTTTTCTCTCTCTAGTTGTGGCGCACAGGCTCCAGAGCGCGTGGGCTCTGTAGTTTGCGGCACACGGGCTCTCTTGTTGAGGCGTGTGAGCTCAGTAGTTGTGACATGCAGGCTTAGTTGCCCCGCGGCATGGGGGATCTTAGTTGCCTGACCAGGGGTCGGACCTGCGTTCCCTGCATTGGAAGGCGGATTCTTTACCACTGGACCACCAGGTAAGTCCCAAGAAATCCATATTTTTTTAAAGTAAAACTCCAAGCTTTAAAATATTAGCTCATAAAAACAAAAAAACAAACAAACACTGCAGACGAGAGAAAAAGATATCTGTCAGTTGAATCTAGCCTGCAGACCCACGTTTGCAACCTCTCCTTAGGCTTACAGCTTTTACATCTGTGTATCCTCTTGTCAGCAGGCACAGCGGTTTGCTCACAATGGTTTGTACCTAGCAGGCACACAGCTGTGTAAGCTATCCACCTGGTGGGTCAGTGATAATAAGATCCATATCAAAGGTCCATCATCCAACCTCAATGATTTAAAACTTGTTTTGCTGCTGAGCTTCTCTCTGATGAGCCTTCCAAAGGTAACATGGAAGCAAATTCACTCTGTCTGACCTAAAACAGAAACTTGTCTTTTTTCCTGTACTTTGTTCTAACCCAAGAGCACTGTCAGCACTCAATAAATAATAAATTACGGTCATATAATTACAGCTTTTATGCAACCAGGTCATGTTATATTGACTTCATATGTGAAGCAAAATTTTCTAGCACTTAAGAAGAAAGCAGTTAGGGATCAAAGGCAAACATAAGCCAAGTGATGGTCTAAGGAAGAAATGGCAATTTTTATGTCTGCTTCAGAAGAGCTGAATCAGGCAAGGAAAATAGAAATGAAACCAAGCCAGCTGAATACCTCATAGCAGGGAATGGGAAAGCAACGCAAGGGCATTCTGGATCTATAGCATTACCTCACCGTCGTCCACCAAACAGTATGACCTAACTGCTTCTGGCTCCTCCAAGAAACACTTTCAGTGAGGGAGACAGATGACCTAATAAAAGGTACAATCTCAAAGTCAGGTAGCCAGGTAGAGACTCTAGCCTGGAGCCTTGAAAACAGTTCTGAACGTAGGACTTGTCCAGAAACTAGAGGGCATGAGACAGGAGGAAGACAAGCAGGGAAGGATATCCCTTCACTGGTTAGAAGAGAAACATCATTAGCTCAAGAATACTAGGGCAGAATTGATTCCAGGGCACATCCCTGGAAGCAGGCAGAGTTCTGTCAGTAGACGGCGTTGCCTTGATGGTGCTAGGATGTGGAGGTTCAACACTGAGTCAGCCAGTCCAGCCAGACAACATAATACCTGCCATGTGACAAGCACAGCTCTAAGCATGAGGTCAAGGCCTCTGTTTTCAGAAAGCTTTCATCACAACAGAGGGAGACAGATAATAAGCACGTTCAAAAAAGGAGATGTCAAACAGTTATACAACGTATAAAGAAAAGAAAACTGTGCTGAAATAGAGAGTGCCTGATGGGCCACCTTGGATTGGAAGGTCAGAGGAAAGCTCAAAGGAGGTGACATATTAGGGGTGAGTCCTTAATGACAAGAATCAGCCCTGGCAAATTCTAGGAACCTGCACCCCTAGAGGGAAGAACAATTTGGGCAGATGCAAGGAGCATCTTGTGTTTGAGCATAAGAAAGACTCCCAGTGTTTGTGGACTTTACAAAGCAAGAGCGAAAGTGGTAGGAGATGAGCTCAGAGAGAAAAAAAGAAGCAGATCACACAGGGTATCGATGGCCTTGAACAGGGATTTGGAATTCATTCTAAATACTTAGAAGCCACTGGAAATATTTGAGCAAATGAGTATCAATACTATCAACTCCTCAGGTCCTATTTCCCAAGATGACAGTTTCATTTGCAAAAGGCGGACAGAGAGATGTGTGCTTTGCTGCCGCCCTCAAACTTTGTTGGGGGACCTGGGGTTGAGCATAGTGGGGGGCTGGTGATGGAATCAACACCAGTGGGGCTCAGAGAAACCTGTGCTGTTGTTGTGGGGAAGGAAATCAACTTGCCGGAATTCTACTCCACCAGGTGCCAGAGCCCTGTCAGTACCCTGAGCCTTTCAGAGCCCCCAGCTTGTGTCTCTGCTGAGCTCTCATTAGACTGTGAGCTTTATGAAGCAAGCAGCGTGTTCATTGACTCCTTTCTCCCCTCAGCGTACTGCACAGTGATGCACTTGATAAGTGTCCAGCAGTTGCTTAGTAGAATTCAAAGCAAACAGAAAATGTGCAGTTGATACTACTCATCTTGCCCTGCTTCTAGAAATGCCAGCAAGCTTCATGGGGAAGGAGCTGACTATGGGCCCAAGATTTATTGAGTTCACCATTTTAACAGATAGGTTGAAGTCTGCTGCTTTAGCCATCTGTAATTTTACTAGAATCTATTTTTGCTAGACTATTGTAAGCCATGAGACTCAAGTCTGACCCCCTTCTGAATTAAAACTATACTCATTGGTCTTCATTTATTGACATCTAAAAGACAATCCCACCTCCTAAATTCTTCTTCTTGCATGGTATACGTAAATGACTAAGCACAAAGGAATAATCTGATAAGAGAAAAATGAATATCACACTTACATATCCATATTCCAAATCCCAGCACCAGCAGTAATTGCAAAACCTCACAAAACATGCTCGGAGAAAATCCCCAATGAGAATTGTGACGTAGGTAGTCAGAACATCAGAAACAGTCAGCCGCACAAATTCCTGTTGAGATATTATCTGTATTAAAAGGAGCATTTCTCCCTTCAAATGGTCCTAATGTTAACATCGAATTTGTCATGCTTTCTAAATAGTATTAACTTGAAAACTGCAACTAATGGTAAAGAAACTAGTTAGGCATATCTAGCAAGTAAAAAATGTTTCACCCCTATTTTATTAGTCTAAAAATAATTATTTCCTGCTCCAAAACCACTGTATCAGAAGTCGTCCTACTGAGAAACTTTTATAAGCATGACATGAGAACACAAAACAGGAAAATAATGACAACACAGAAATTTAAAACTTGAATCTGAAACAGCAGATAATAAAATAAATTTATTTATAAAATTAAAAGACAAGCTTGGAAAAAGTACTTGTGGCATATATGATGGAGAACTAGTTTTTCTAACACATTAAAAACTTTTACAAATCAGTACAACAATCGATGGGCAATTCAATAAGGAAAAAAATGGCAAATGGCACAAATAAGAAGAAAATACACAGTTAATTAAAATATTCAAAAATACCTAAATCCCACATTATAAAAATACAATTAAAACAATAACTTGTTGCTCCACACAGTGATAAATATTTTAAAATCCATGCTTTTCCATATTGGTGAGAGTGTGGTGAAATAGGCACTGTCGTAAACTGACAGTTAGAAGGGAAAGTTAGACGGGTGCAACATTTGTGTGTGGGGGGACATTTGTGAAGATCCATCACATTTTAAAGTGTGTGGATTTTATTAGGAAAATCCACTTCTAGAAATGTATCCTATGGCAGTATTAGAACAAATGTCCAAATCTATACATATAATTATGAAAGCATTGTTTCTCCCAGATCAAAATTGGAAGCAATTCAAATATACTCAAGAGGAAATTAATTAAATAAAAACGGGTGTCCACACAACAGAATATTGTGAGCTCTTAAACAAAGTGCTATTGTGATTATGGCTGCACAACAATGTGAACATATACCAAAACCCACTGAATTGTGTACTTTAAATGGGTGAGACGTATGGTATGTGAACGATATCTCAACAAACCTGTTTAAAAAGCGCTCAAATGCTATGTTCTGATAAGAAATGTATTGTTAAAAATTTACAAAATAGGATATGTAGCATGAACCCACTTATTAACAAAAAATCCTACACATATATACATACATGTATATATGTATATGCATAACATGTATATGTATAGAAAAGGTCTGGAAAATTAGAAACTTTTTACCTCAGTGGTGTGGACTTGAAGTTACATGCAAAATGTGTATGCTGTGGGTTAGAGGGGAAGGTCACTATTTCCTCATGGAACTTATAACAATAGGCAATAAATATAAGAGTAGACATATAATTATAAATTTTCATTATGATCGTTTTCTTTTGCTCTTTCCTTTCTGCTCCTTCCCAATAATTCGTGCCCTAAGATTGAAGACATGGAATATCTAATAAGACATATTTTTCCAGAAATACAGTGTTCTTCTATAATAAAAGAAGTCTTCTGGTTTTTATTTCCAGCTACCTATATAATCTCACCTCTAAAATAACTAGTGAGAAAGAATCACATCACAGGGCAAGGCCCATTTGACTAGCAGTTATCTGGTTAATTTCCAGTCCCATACTTCAGAGCAGTGCTTCCTAAACTCCAAGTAGTCGTGTACCACTTTCACGATTCTTGCCATGTCCAAGTACTATCTGAAATATTATTTACCTAATATTTCTTTTAACTTTACTTTACTTACTTTACTTTAATATACTTTATTTTTAAAAAATAACTCCTACTATTGTAAATAGAAGGTGTATAACATCTGCCATAAACAGTAGTTAACTATAATATAAATATATTAAAAGCTAAAAAAATTATATTGAAAATTTTGAACTATAAATGTAAAAGAATTATCTTGGCATTAGTTCCCATCAAAAGTAGTGCCTGGGGCTTCCCTGGTGGCACAGTGGTTGACAGTCCGCCTGCCGATACAAGGGACGTGGGTTCGTGCCCCGGTCCAGGAAGATCCCACATGCCGTGGAGCGGCTGGGCCCGTGAGCCATGGCCGCTGAGCCTGCGCATCCGGAGCCTGTGCTCCGCAATGGAAGAGGCCACAACAGTGAGAGTCCCGCGTAGCGCAAAAAAAAAAAAAAAAAAAAAAAATACTGCCTGTGAGCCAGTAGTGTATTTTGGGAAATGCTATCAAAGAACAGGGGTGGAGATGGAAAAGAATGAAACAGGAAAGGAGAGAAAACCTTTACCCAAGCTGTCACTACTGGGGCAACTGGGTCTTGATTCTTCTGGGGACCCGCTGAGTAGCCATATAGAATAAGTCTCAGAACTGTCCACCCAAGAGACAGAAAAGGGAAGTATTGATCTACCAGCTCCCATTCCCATCAGTCAGGGATGGCCCCATGTGGTATTAACGTCCCATTTGGTGACCGCAGAGAAGCAGGGTAAAGGTGAGAATCTGTATACAACTCAGTTGAGATACTGTCTTGTAACAGCTGCATGCAGTCGTTTGCTGCAGCAACAGCTGGAGTAAAAAGGTGAGTGTGAGGTTTCTGCATAATCCATGTGTCTGTATAATCTGATTCCTGTCTAGCTCTCCATACTTTTCTTTGTCTTCTCTACTCCAGTCCCACTGGCTTTCTTTCATACCCTCAAACTCCATACTTCTTTAGGCCATAGGGTCTTTACATGTGGTCTTCATGCTACTCAATCTTACTTCACCTCTTGACTCAGTTTACACCAACTAATATGCATCACTACAGCATCACTAACTTAGGGAAGTCCCTCACCTGGATGACTAGGGGCAAGCTTTTCTGAATGCATGCATTGCATTCTTGTAGTGCTTTGTTGCCATTGTAAATTTGCAAATATTGTATAATTATTTAATTAATGGCTTTGTTCCCAAGAGATTGTAATTGTCACGAGATTGTAATTGTCACAACGGCAGAGACTGGGTCCACCTTTGTTCCCCATCGCACCTCCAGTATCTAGCACAATACCTGACACTTAGCCTGCACTCAATAAATATGGAGTGAGCGATTGAGTGATAGTAAATTCCTGTGGTTATCTCTGAATATAACTTTTCTCTTCCCTACTCTTATTCTCCTTTTCATTCCCCAGGCAATTTGAGTTCAGATTCTAATAACTAGCATCAATTAGAAGTAGGCTGTGAGGGATATTTTTAGGTTTCCACCACCAGGTTGGGAAGACTTCCTCAGAAAGAAAATATTTCAGAGTGGTTTTGAAGTCCTCCACAACCTCCTAAGCATCCTCATCCCAATGGTTGAAATACAATATTTTTCCTAAGCAACGTCCTAACTTTCACATAAAATAGCAGAAGAGGATTCAAACATTATATTAAAATGTAAAAATATTTATTAATATACCATAGAAGGGATACACTGCTTTATAAGAAAGGAAATTCCAAAAATGGTGGTCCAGCCCACCAAGGGATCATCATCCAATTCCAGTTCCTAGTGTGCTAGGATGGGAGCATGGCCTCCACACAGGCCTTCTGCAGAGCACTGCACTCCACACCTCACACTTTACTCTCCTGACATGTATTTGGTCAGTAAACCTAAGAGGCTCATTAGCAAGTAAAGGGAAAATAATAGAGACGGGGCATCACAAAGGGCCACAGACAGATATTCCATGGCAGGAGTCTGGGAGTATGTGTCGATGCTAATTATGTTTCTGGAGGACGGTTCAGCACTATGGAGAAGGACACAAACTCTAATCAGACTTTGTAGGTAAAATTTGGGCTCCTGTCATTGACTTTCTTTAAGGTCTCGAGCAAATTATTTTACCTTTCTAAGTCATAGTCTCCTCATCTATAAAATGGGGATAATGATATAACTTATCTCAAAGGGTAATTTAAAAATTCAAGGAGGTAATGCTTGGCACACAAGAAGCATTCGATAAATGTGAGCTATTATTGTCATTATCTTCAGCTGTTGTCTGCTTTCTCTCCTTTGCCAAAATGCAGACCTAAGTATATAGCTTCAAAGAGCGGTCTCCCAAGAATGGCTCTGCTGCCTACCTATCAAATGTCACTGGAGATGAGACTAAGTGACTACATCGTGAGATTCCCTGGAGAGATAAAGGAGCCACCAAATTCCTATATTCAAATTCAAAAAGAGATTAAGTCCCATAGAGACTTATTATCCTTGAGGAAAAACAGAGCAGAGGGCACCCATAGAGAAGAAGAGAAAATATCTGGAATGTTCTCACAGAAAAATGAACAAGTCTTTGGGGTTATATCTCCAACATTCTGTGCAAAGCAGCTGCCTTCTACTATTTCTTCTGGAATCACTTTGTTTTAAAAGTGGGTAAAATAAATGTTTCAGAACCACAGCCCTTCCCTCCTGCCGCTCCTGCAGACTTTCCCACAAGCGCTGAATATTCATTTAGAGAAAGGAAGGTGAAAGAGAAAAGGGAAACCCAACTACAAATGGCAGTAAGAAAAGATGATGAAGCAAGGAAAACCACTAGATAGAGACAGGATTTTAAAAAAAAAGGACAAGACAAGCAGCATGGTACAAGGGTTCCCAAGAAGAAGAATTAAATAATTTTTTCTTTATTTTAATTCAGTGTGTGTGGGAGCATCCCAGAAGCTTCTGCATAATCAGAAAATAAGTATTCTAGATCGCATGACATTCATGTCTAATTAATTGCTGCCTCTGCCTCAGAAGTGAGCAGCTTCCACCTTATTCTTTACAGTTAGTTCTATTAATCTTGTTTAACAGGTGTTTGCCTGGTAAAGGGTAGGTTGCTTAGCCCTCATGCCAGTCTGCATTCTGGGATGTACATAAGAGAATATCTCAAACTCTCTGAGTTTGTGAAAACTACACTTTATATTTTTTCACTTCTCTCAACTCTTGCTGAAGATTTAGGGAGCCGCCTAGATGTGATAAAACAGACTTGTGTTAAGTGCCGTGACCAGATTTTGCTTCAGGTGTTTTAAAACATGGAAGCCCATATACTCCTGTGTATTCACTTCCTATTGCTGCTGTAAGAAATTACCACAAAATTAGTGGCTTAAAACAACATAAACATAAACTGTTCTGGAGTTCAGAAGCCTAAAATCAAGGTGCAGGCCTCAGGGCGAAATCTGTGCCCTTGCCTTTTCCAGCTTCCAGAGGCCACCTGCATTCCTTGGCTTGTGGACCCCTTCCCCCACCTTTAAAGTGCATCTCTCCAACCTCTGGTTCCACTGTCACAGCCAGTTTTTCTGACTGACTCTTGTCTCCCATTTATAAGCATGTGTGATTTTGTTAGGCTTACCGCATAATCCAAGATATTTTTCCTATCCCCAGATCTTTAACTTAATCACATTGGTAAAGTCCATTTTACTATGTAAGGTAACATATTCACAGTTTCCAGGGATTAGAACATGGACGTTTTTGAGGGGTTATTATTCTGTCTACCACATCATGTATCACGAGCATCTCTCTACCAACTGCAGGCAGGTTTCATTTCATTTATTATTGCATACATAGTATGTTCCTGTAAATGTGTATGAAATGTGCATGTCTGAAAATCAAGTATTTAATAACATGTAACTGGAAAGGGAAGGGTTTATCTGGTCCCTAAAAGCCTAAAAAATAAAATAGAATCCTTACTTATATCATACATTTTGGACTTGGTCTTCAGTGATGTCTGTCTAGCATTATATACATTTTCCTTACTTTTTTCCCACAATTGAAATCACAGATGAGTGGCTTAAGTCAGATGAGTATCTGAAGCTGAGGACATCTAATGATATCTGTATTTGTTTAAATTAGCTTCATAAGACTAATGCTAACTTTCAATTTTCCATTTATCTTACAAAAAAATAAGTACACAGTAAAAAATTATTTCAAATAATTTCCCAAAGACCACATTACTGCTGAAACTGAACTGTTGTCTGACAGACAGAAGCACTATGACATATTTTAAAATGTCTGTCCATCAAGGATGAACCAAAGTCCAAAATCAGTTTAGGAAGTGCACATGAGGAATGTCAATTCTAATGAGATAAAATTAAAGGTTTTTCAAAATATAAATTGGATTTGTATAGAAATAAGAGACCTGAAGTAGGTTTTTTGTTTTTGTTTGGTTTGGTTTCCCTTTATTGAACAGAAAGCCATATGAAACATTATTTCTTTTATCTGCTAAAATACCACTAGTCTTGGACTGGGGTCATTTATACAGTCATCTGAAAACAACAAACCTAAAATAGTATTTCCTTTCATGCTTAAGGGGCAATTATTTGACAAAAATTAACATTATTGAAATGAGTATTAGTGTATGCTCCCAAAAGAATCTTTTCTTTTTTTTATGGAAAAAAGGTAACACTGGGGCTTCCCTGGTGGTGCAGTGGTTGAGAGTCTGCCTGCCGATGCAGGGGACATGGGTTCGTGCCCCAGTCTGGGAGGATCCCACATGTGGCAGAATGGCTGGGCCCGTGAGCCATGGCTGCTGAGCCTGCGTGTCCGGAGCCTGTGCTCCGCAACGGGAGAGGCCACAACAGTGAGAGGCCCGCGTACTGCAAAAAAAAAAAAAAAGGTAACACTAACTAGAGTTCCACTTAAATATTTACTTGGGTTGTATCTAAATCTGGGTGTTTTATTATAACACAGATAGATAGTAAACATTTCCTCAGACCATTTTAAAATATCCTTCCTTCACATGCAACTGTAAAAGGGGTGTAAAGGTACTACTTACCTGAATGGATGCATGTGAGGACTATAAGAGATAATATATGTGAAATTCACAGCCAGCATATGGTGAACAGTCAATAAGTCTCAGCTATTTTCATTAATAAGCAATAAAAAACAGGCCACGCTTATGGAAGAAATAGTGACCCTGCTCTTTTTTAATCCATTAACCGTTATGCACTTCTGTTTGTGACATTACCTGCCCCACCATTGTTTCCCAGCAGGGTCCTCGAGGTACATCTGCAGGGTGCACAAAAAAGGGTGGCCCAGTGGTATTTCCAGTGAGTGATGCATTGTAGGCCTTGATCATGTTGGCTTCCCATAGGGTAATATTGGCCTTTACTAGCTTCTCCTCTTCAATCTAGAAAGCAGAGGAATGGAAACAAAAATGAAGACAACAGAGATTTCAAAGGCATTTCTGGCAATCTTGAGATTGGGAATCTAACAATATGCTGATGGCAAGGACAATCCAGACACAAGATTTACCTTGTTGTTAATCTCATCCATCAAGGCAAGAATAAATACATACAAGTTGCCTAAAAGAAGAGCAAAAATGCGTCCCAGGAGCCATTTCAGAGCGATGAGGGGATGGTAGTCTTCCAATTCAGCAAATAAGTCAAACAATGTTGGACAGAACATCCCCAGGAGGGACATGACCATGTTCATCTACAAGAAGACACAAGGGGTGAACCAAGTTAACGGTGTTTAAAAATTATTGCTTTCCTCCGAATTTGCAAGATTCCAGCTAGATTCCTTTGATATTTTATAAGACTAAAATTATTTCATGCATTTTTAAAATTTGATCTTATTAAAACAACAGAGACAATATTCAACTCATATATTCAAGATGTACATGTGTGTGAGCTTGTGGACGTGCCAGTAATAATAGTGTTTCCTAGTATAATGAGGGATGCGATTTACATTACTTTCTATGCAGAGAACATTTACTGTTATACATGGTAACTGATTCTGCACTTCACAACAAGATTTCCAAAGGAAATGGAAAATGATCTGCTTGAGGAATGAGGTCCAAATTGGAAATACTAATTTGGCAATCATCAGCACATGGGCTAGTTTAATCAGTTAGAATGGATGAATTCCTTGAGATGGGCCCAGGACTAAATACTGAGTTTGTGGGAATGCAAACTATAAGGGGCAAAAAAAAAAAAAGGTTCCAGGTGACTCTGGCAATGTCTTTACCTGAATACCTGGCTCAAACTGTCACTGTTTAACATTTCCCATTTCCCCCTGGTAGACTCCATGTTCTGAATGATTAGAACTACCAAACTATATTGAGAAAATAATTATCAATATGTTTTTCCCTTTTGACTAAGAACATTGTATAAGTATGACCAGCAGGAGCTAAAAGTCAGCATGACATAATATAAAATCAGCATGATACAATTTCAGCCTAAAGTAAAAACTTGGCAGAGCTATGCAATCTCATATAAGGTAAATTTAAATTCTGTTTCATCAAATTTGTAAAGTTTTTCATGAATCCCCATTATTACCTTTGTTGGCCCCTAGGAATCAGGGGTCCCCTAAGATGGATATTAAACATGTACTTACAAAGAGTGACCCTTTTGATGATAATCAATTATCCCTCCTTTTCTGTGGTTTATTAATACAAAAATATGATCAGTACGAACCATGGACCAAAGTGGCATGATAATTTTGCCTATAAATGCTATCATAACTGCAAGGATAATTTTGAAAGCAAACTTAGTAATGCTTTGAGGTTCCCCTTTGTTTTAAATAAGTAAAATAACTCCACCTAATGACTCTCTGTTTTACAGGCTTCCAAGAAATGTCTATGCCATCATAGGCTCTTAAATATATGGTCTCCCATCTTCAGTGTTACTGCTTCTGAAATATCTAGAAAGTTTTTGTTTGGAGCCTTTTGTTGTAGGTAGGTTATACCATTTTCTGTGCAAGATTCTTCTAGGAAATTCTATGCTTATGAAGACTTTCATAATCTGTTTGGTCTACAAGACTCTGCAGAAGTTTCAGTGTGGGAAATCTACACTTCCCACCGCCTAAATCTCCACACACTGAAAAGGCCCAAGTTCAAAATGATGCCACATTGTATTCTAGAACATTTTATGAAAGGGAACAGACCCAAGAAACAACACATGACCAGTGATTTCCTGATTCTAAATATCTACCTCTGACCTCTTTTCTTGGACCTGCTAAATGGGCAGATACCCTGAAGACAAATCGCAATCATAATATTTAATTCCTTTCAGAGAGCTGCCCTTCCTCATTTGAATAGCATTTGGAGGGGGAGATAATAGGGTAAGGAGAGGAGGTGAAACAGTTAGGCTGCTAGTGAAAAACAGAGAGAGGCCCAGTCCTGCCCAAAGTGGGGGAGGCAATCTGAATGTTTCCAGTGAAATAAACATAAGAACCCAGGGCTTTATCATTGCTGCTTCAAAGAATTCAGGGGACAATTGGATCTTTCAAAGATAGATGCAGGACCTGCAGAGAAAGCAACATAGTGTCATGGAGAGTGCTGAGCTTGAAATCAAGATTCCTAAATTTTAACTCTCATTGTTCTCCATGGTTCTGAGACCATGAACACATCACCTAATCTGAGATTCATTATCTCTGTCTATAAAACGTACTGGTTGGAATATGTGCTCTAATCTCTCTTCCAACTCTACCTTTCCCTAATGTCACAAAGTGAAAAACAGACAGTAGACAGATTTGGAAGTAAGGCTGGAATAGGGACACGTGTGCCGAGGTTGGTTCACTCTCAGGTCAGGATGACAGAGATAGGTAAAGAGCGGCCATATTTCATATCCCAACATTGAAGCACAACCCACAAAATCTCAAATATCAGATTCTAAGCACATAAAAAGCATGCAGAGACGAACTTCATTTTTTTCCCACCACCCAAGGGTGTCAGGATCTTGCTGCGCAAATTCCTGGGATCGCTTCACAGCCCAAAAGATGAGGTATCCACTCCCGCCAAGTGTTAGAAACACGAAGAAGTTAGCAAGAAACCTCAGGAATCTGATCAAGTGGACGTTTTCTTCTGCTTGGGCTGCTCTTTCTTCTATTATAGCTTCCTGTACCCAGGCAAAACAGAAAGAAAAAAGAAATATCTGAGCTACAAAAAGTATCATGAACTCAGGAATTATTTCTGCAAACATCAGAAAGTGAGGAATGAAAATGTAAACTGAATCTGGGATTCCACAAACCAGGTGAATATTGCCAGCAAGTGAGAAAAAGTAAGACAGAGAAGGAAGAATTCTTACAAACAAACTCTGGTTGAGTTAATATTTACTAAGATAGTCTTCATTCTAAAGTCTCTTCTAGTACAGTTTTTTAAAACAACTACAAAATAATACTTTAGAGTCATTTAAAATATTGGGCTAATGTATTCCTGTAAATAATTAGCGAGCATTGTTCTATTATTTAAAATATCTGATTCTGATTACTAATGGTTGGCTGTTTCAAGCCAATGGCATTGTTTTATTACCAAATTTAGAGAGAAGTAATGCTGTCATGGGTCATCAATCATTTTCCAGTCATAATCAGAACCCTGCCCAGATCCTGGTAGGAAGAAATGATGAGTTAATCTTTCTTTTAATTGTCAAGATACTTTGCTACCTAGACCATTTGGAATGGCTCCAATTTTACTCTTAGAAATACCAAGAAAAGGCTCTTGAAGTTGGTGTTTTTACCTTAAAGTTCATTGTGATAGAATTGAATTTGTTGTCTGCTGTTTCAGGATTGCCAATCAGGTAGTCCCAGCTGGTGAACACCTTCCAGCTGAAGTTGAAGCTGTTGTCGTCACCACCTCCATCATCACCAATATTTTTGGTCATCCTATACAAACAGGAAGTTTAATCCAGCAGCCAGAATACAAGCAGAAAGGGAGAGGTTAGGGAATAGCAAAACATCATAATTATAAGGAAATTGGAGAAGCAATATCTAAAAGACATATACTTTCAAACAAGTTTGTTCTAATAACTAGAAAATAAAAGTTTATTAAAAAAATATTTTTTTGTTTTAATTTTTTAAGCTGTTCATTTTCCAGGCCTTCAAGATTAAAAGACTACTAACCATTGATGATTTTAACAATTAAACAGGTTATATAAAATTACGTATTTTTTATTTGTTTTCCTAAACTGTTTTCCTAGGGTCATATACGAGGCTCTGAAACTTCTGTGGGATAAGGATCTCTTTAGAAATCCGGTGAAAACCACCAGTCCCCTCATCAGGAAAAACATATGTATAGACTCTTAAACTGTTGTACACAATTTTAGCTGGTTTCCAGACCCTGTGAAGCCTAGGGATGGATTAACCCAGGTCAGATCAGGAAACTCCTTCACAGATTCCAATTCCCCTTAGAATCTCCTTCCAAAGAGTGATTACACTGAATGCATGGAATTTTTCCATACTTGACAACTCTTGACCAAAAATCAAGATTTTTATACAACTTAATAGCAAGTGGTTACATATATTCTAATCAGTGATGTTTCAATTTTTTTTTGCTTGGACAGTTTAAAGTACATTTACTTACTTCAGTGGCTAAGGATCTATATTCCACTTACTCCACTTCCTTTTTTTCCCCTACCACTATAAAGTGCAAAATTAAAATATTATATGATATATATTATAAAATGGTCCCATAAGGTTTTAGTTTTTTAAATATTGCAGTGATATGGACCTGAAAAAAGAAAGGAGTACAATGACATAAAGCTGACAATGTAGTTTGGCAGGTATCTCTAAGGTCATCTAAATTCCCCCACTGTTTAGTCCTATTCCTTACAGAGGTTTTTATATTTCAGATGGGCTAATGTGTTTGAACAATAACCAAAAATAATTATTCCTTACATCAATCTACCACTTTACCCTTTGCAAATGGTATTGATGTGTATTATCATATTTGTCCTTCTCAAAAACTTAACAAGAGGTCACAGTAGTTAATATTATTCTCTTTTTACAGTTGGGGAAGCTGAAGGATAAAATTATCAAGTGATTTGCTGGCCATTATACAGAAGTAAACCACAGGGGTGGGTCAAGGGCTTAGGTTTTCTGACTTCATTCTGGTACCCAAGCTAGGACACCATGAAATATGTTGAACCATACAAAGTGCCTTTTTGTAGGTCAAAAAGGGTTGAAATCAAACATTTCCAATGGATTAACCTAGGGAGAAAATGATTTTTTTGATTAAGATGCCATCACCCCTTTTTGCACTGTCACTGAGCCAAGGGCAGGGCCTCAAGTAAAACTGACCACTTGACAGATAAGTCTTGAATGGAGCTCTATCACAGGCAAGATTCTGTAGCTGTAGACAGCCTTCCAGAGAAGGGAGCTCTAGCCGGACAAGCAAACAGGGAACATCTAGCATGTGGGAATTGACAAGAAAGGGAGTGAAATACTAAAAGGGAGTGACAAGAAAGGGAGGAAGGATATTGAAGACAACCTCTGCTAACAACACATTTTTACTAAGAGATGGCCCTGATAGCTATAAAATATTTCACGTACAGCTCCATTCCTTGTCTGTAGAGAAAAAAAGTGTACATACTTAAACAAAAATTCCTCCTTTTTCAAGGGGGTTATAGTTTTGAACAACTATATCTTTGAGAAGCTACCTCAACATACAATTTGCAAGGAATGATGGAAGTTTTGCTTTGCCAGGGACTAAGTAGGTTTCCAGGGCACAAGATTCAATGCTAAAGCCAGGAGAGTCCTGGGTCAACAAAGTTAGTCACCCTATCTTAAAATCGAAAAGTGCTTTCTTGGATATCTAATTTGCCTTCCAATTTCCCTATTTATTAATCAAATATAGATATTTGCTTCCCTTTTATGGATGAGGATGCTGAAGACAAAGAATATGGGCAAGAGGGCAAAGTCCACCAGTTGCCTAGTTGATGTCAGTATTCAGTTTTAGTTTCCCTTTATTTGAGTCATGTATCCCATAAAGCCACTCACGTTTATTCCAAGAATGTATTTGTTTGGGGCCAGTGGTGGGGGAAAGAGATGATATAGGATTCTGAACAATCATTTATATCTCATCAGTTGTTCTACCAAGCCTTGCCCCCAGGGTTAGGAGTGGGGTAGGAGTCATAAATTGCTTTGGAATTGTCTTGCCATATAGGCCAGTGAACTTAAACTACTTGCCAATCTGGTAATGAACAACCAAAGGTCCCCTGCTGGAGGGAGGGACCAAAATCAGGCTGGTTTGGGTGGCATAACATGGATGACTTTGAGGGGGAAAATGTAGAATTTGTGCCCTACAGCTATCCTAAATGGCATCTTTGAGCTAATAGGAAAAGCTGCCATTTCCTGCAGAGCTGCACTAGCTAATAAGTTCGCCACTAGCAATATGTGGTTACTGAGCACTTGAAATGCAACTAGTGTGAAACATACATAAAATTTCAAAGACTTTGTACCAAAAAAGACAGAGAATATCTCAATAATAATTTTAGATTGATTATATGTTGAAGGAATACTTTCGATATATTGAGTTAAATAAAATATATTATTAAAATATATTCCACCTATGTATTTGTTTAATATAGTTACTAGAATATTTTAAATTATATGTACCTTGTCTTATAGTTCTTTGCATAATGCTGTTCTAGATGCTTTACACTCATCTGCCAGAAAATTATTATAATAAATGTGCAAATCTATTAATGTATAACTACATAACCATATGTGACTACCCTACTGCTGGGGTTATCATATGACCTCAATTCCTACCATGTTGGCTTTGTTTGGTTTTTCAATAAGCCTATGAATTATAATCCTAATAAAACAGTTAACATTTGTCAATCACCGTATGCCAACTATGTTCTAAGTGTTTGCATGTACTGACTCATTTTGTCCTCATAGCCATCCTAACATCAAGGTGTCATTACACCTCTACTAGAAATGGGAAAATAGAGCAGTTGAACAATTTGTCAAAGTTCTTTTAGAATGGGCTAGAGCTGGTATTTGATTCCATGAAGAACGGCTCAAGAGCCCACTAGGGTATGTAGCCTCTGCACAGTCACTAAAAGAAGCTGAGGACTTGGACATCCATAGACATGCTTTCTTCAGTGACTATGGAGACTAAAGGACCAATATGGAAATGATACTCACAAGGCCTCTGTAATGTAACTGTACCCTTGACTTTAGTCCTGCCAAATCAAAATGGCCAAAAGACTAGAAATATCTTAGAGTTTTTGGAATGTGGTAGTACTTGATCAGGTAGACAGATACTTTACATACTTAGGGTCTCTGGTTACACTTGGACAACTAGATAAAGAATTTGGATATGGGATCTCCATTAAGGCCTTTTTCAAGTCCTGAAAGGGCTTAAAAACTAAGCATAATAGTTTTCTCCAGAGGAACCAATAAGTTTGGCAGGGACAGGACACAAAGCATGCCAAAGACTGTTCCAGAAAGCTCCTGCTCAAGAGGACTTGGACCCTCAGGTAGAGGTCCTTCCCTGCAATGAAGCAAAAGGCCAATTTACCTTGTGCATAGTTAAATAAAAGGGTGAAGACTTTAACTGAGATGTTTCAACACCTGCTAAACTGGTTCAGAAAATTAGCTAAAGGATGGATTATTCATATTATTTATAGCCCTAAATGACTGTGCTAGATTTCTGCAGTGTCTTCAAGTGAGGTTTTAAAAATATATTTCAGACAGGGAGAAAAAATGAGCTGCAGTTTCATCAGTTCCCCAATGAAATTCTTTTCCATGCTCTAATAAATCCTCTTCAAAAATAAAACATGACTATATAGTTGATCATGACGGTCTCGTTGAGGGCCATTCGTTTTTGCTGTCTTACACAGCTGAAATTTTTTGGATGAGTGATTATTCTGGGTTTGTTTGTTTGTTTGTTTTAATGAACAGAGAACAACAGATTCTGTCTATTGAGCTGATTCTGCAACTCACAAACCTCTCTGTATGCAAAAAGAGGGGTCAGCAGCTGTTTCCCTGTCTTGTTTGAAACATTGATTCACACCTTAAAGTACAAAAAAGCACAATTTTAAAATATGCTTAACCACAGGATAGGCATGCAACCATCACTGTGACCCAGTGAGATGATCAAAGTCCTGCACTTGTGTTCAACCCTTTTGTTTGGGAGATGTAATAGTCTAACATTAGTGTAGGTATTAAAACCACATTTTATCTCTTAAATACTCTGCATTCTCTAGACATGAAACGGAAAAAAAAAATCCAATTCTCAAGTTAATTTTTCCATTTGATTCCAGAAATCAGTGCTTGCTTCCCAAGAGACCAATGAAACTTACTCTTTAAGGACAACCAGAAAGCTGTATCCAATGCACATGATCCCCACCAGAAAATAGGATAGCGGCAGTCTGAAATTCATCCATCCAATTGTTCGTTTATTGTCGTAATAGCCATAAAAGAGGACGGAATATTGAGCCAATCCCTAAAATCCAACAACAAAGTCACTTAACAGATGCTGTGAAGAGCAACTCAAAGAAAAAAGATCGACTTCTAAGAGGAATAACAAAATGACATTAATTTTCAAACTTGGGAGATGGCTCTGATGTGAGCCCTATTGTTTTGCTTCATGGAGTGACTGTTTCAGCTTCCACATTGATTGACAGTCTCTTGGTTTACTTGAAATTCAGGGACTTCTAAATAGGCCAAATTTTTAACCAACTATAGGCTTGCTCAGCTGTGGAGCCATTACCGTGAAATGCCCACTGATTGAAACATCAAAACACACTTCATGGTGTCATTAAATTTACAATTTTAAGAGCCTGCTTAATATTGGGGGGGAGGATCTGAAATGTGCTTCCTCAAAGTGTCATGGCAGGTTTCCACTTCCAGTCACCTGAGCCACAGTTAGATTGGTTCTTCATAAGCCACAGAGGCCACATCTCAGCTCACACTTAGCAAAAACAAGGAGCAGGTGAGATGACATTGGAACCAATATGCACAACCTTCCATTCATCAAGACTATTATCCCCTAACAAGCATGTTTATTCATGAAATTACATGCTGTTTCCCAAAAATTATCTGCCAGGGTTGGAATCACCATCTTCCAAGGCCACCTGAGTAACTGCTCTCTATACACAGAACATGGCATATTTTGATGTTGCTTCCCTTATAATAGTCTTCATCTTCCTCTCCTTCTCTCATTCACTGTGTCCTTCACTGTTAGCTTGGCAGCACTGTTTCTGTATTACTATATATCCACTTCCCCAGCTTCTCTCTGATTTCATCTCTCTGACAATAACTTAAAACGACTATGCTTTGTGAAGTGAGAAGATAATTGCAGTAATATCAATCAATAAATTTTTTTGAGCCGGTAGCATGTGCTGAACACCTTACTTCTTCTTACAGAATCCTCACAAGAACCCTCTTGAAGCGGCTGCCGTTAGGGGCAATCGTTTTCCTCTACACTTGTTACTTGCCATGTAGAGAAAAACTGTAACTGTAAAACTCCCAGCCCCTCTCCACTGCCTCATACTAACCCCAGGGAGGAGAGACTCATCTGACAGTAGAGCATGGGTGAGGAATGGGGATGATGTGGGGCACCACTCTTCCTCCTCCTTTGAGATCCCATGCTGTGCTCTGCCCCTGTGAGGGGCATCCTGTCCTGGTCTAGGACTGCTGGGTAGGAAGGTCTGCCTCTGAAGCCCGCTTGCCCATAAAAAGATGCCATATTCTTTAATATCAGTGTTAAAAATAATAAAGATGCCATGCTGACCTCCGTCTGTCTAACCCTTTGTCTTATTTCTGGTTAGCTCACAACCTGGGTCGACAAGGTAGGGGGTGTTATTTACCATCACTTCCCCACCTGAAAAAGACTCAATAGCTCTACACCTATTTTACAGATGAAGAAACTGAGCTTTAAAGAAGTTAAGTAACTTGTCCATGTTCACATAGCTAGTACGTGACAGAGTCTGAACCTGAACAGGGTCTGTCTAATTCAAATCCATATGCTTAACCACTGTGCTATACTGCTTCTCCTATGCTTTCTTTGCCTACCAGGACTTGCATCATACTAATGCCGTATCTACCCAGCAAAACAAAGAAACAAGAAGTCCCTGGACCCCTGGATAGGTTCAGAGTGGGTGCCAGGACCTCCTGGAAAGGATCTAGACACCTCTTTTGAAAAGATTTCAAAGGGCCTCATCTTCACATACATAAACATTACAAACTGACTTCTTTTTCTAATTCATAATGACAGTATTGGGATTAAAAGCCACCTCCAAAATAACATGAAAGGAGAAAGTAGATATGTAACAAACATCTGGTGAGCTTGTTAGGTTAGCACAGTAGCTTCTGGGGCAGCTAACTCACCTGGTGTATGTGTCATTCAGCCTATGTTCAATGGCTGCACTCAATAAATATTAGATCACAACCAATGCGGGTAAGAGCCCTTTTTTTGGAATCCTGATTACTTCGCAAAGGTTTCTTCAGTTGGTCTATTTCTACATATGCAGTGAAGCATGTAAACAAAAGAGGAGGTACTGTTGAAGTGCACAATTTTTAAAAGCCTTATCCAATCCATCTCAGTAGCATATTGAGGGGTGGTTTTAAACACAATGAAAGGCTTAAAAGAGGTCTCCCCCTCCCCTTCCACCCTGTGGCCCACCACACGCCACACATCTTTCCTTTTCCCTTAAAACTCCAATAGCAGACATCTGGAAGTGACTAAAATAGCAACGACTCCTAGCCTAGCCAAGGTTCCATTCGGTTTCCATGTCAGCGCACATGGCTTTCCCTGTGGGAGCACTCTCCCATTCCAAAATCTGTGACAGAGAAACCACAGTCAGAGCCAAGTTTCAAATGAGCACAGAAAATTCCTGTCCAACTCTAGGTTCCATGCTTGCACACTGTCTACCAAGACTCTAATTTCTGTTTGAATGCTGCAGCTGGTCTAGTCCACAGAAATCAACACACATCTATGAGAATGCTTCGATGATGCAGTCGCTAGGAATCAACTCATGTATTTATTTATCTAACTAACTTTTATCGAGAACTTATTTGCCAAATACTATACACAGATGGAGTGGGAGACTGGATTACAGAGGCCCCTTGAAAAAGTTCTGCATGCAAATGTCCCCTTTATAAGTATGTGTCACCTGAAATTATATTAAAGTTCCACCCCTTTGGTGTTTCTCACTACAAATAAATACTCACTGTGAAAGACAACATTCTATCCCCATGATGGTAAATGAGTTTCATCAACCTTAGTAAGCCTTTTTAGTTTGTAGTAACTATCAGACCATTATTTTGAAAAAAAATCGTGAAGTCAGAACTAGTAGGAGAGGAAGCTATAACTTGTGAACTGTGACTGCTGAGGGTATGTGAAAGGGAAGTAGTACCACACTAGTAGGAGTATATTTCTACTTTTCTCTGAACTGTTATCAGTCATTTATACCTTAGTGTTAAAGAAAGCTTCAAGTGTGGATGAAAGATAGGGAATGACGTCATTTAAATTCTGATACGCTCGGGACATGGGAGAGAAGCAAGGAGTGAAATGGCTAACAACACCCAAAACAAACCTCGACCAACTTTATAAGAATAGCAGCCAGCCTGGCACTTATGTGGTACATGCTGAGATCCAGCCCCCGGCCACCCTCCTTCTCTCCAACCAGACTTGCCAAGTTCCATCTAATGCTTTGCTCGCCTCCGAGTTTCTTTTCCTTTTGCTCCAACCCAGATCTAGAGTTATAAAACTGATGTTATACGGTTCTAAGCTAGGAAGCATACACATTACAATGAAGCTGGGCTGAGCCTTCACAGATCCTCTCATTTTCAGTAGAGGGAATGAACTTCTACCTGTCTATGGGACCCTAGGCAGTGAACTCTGGCCTTCAAAAAGCTGTGAAGGAGACAGGTTTTTTTGGTGCCCATCCAGGCATAAAAGGCTCAGAGTGGTTGTCTAATATCACACAGGTAGTATGTGGTAGGATTCAAATCCAAGTCTGTCTAAATCCCATGACTGAGTTCTTTTCATTATGCCACACTGCCTTTTTAACCATGCTGGCTTCTGTAAAGAAAACTTCTGTTTGCCTTTTGTGCCATGATCCATAACTGACACCAATGGTGGGAATTCTAGATCATATGCCCAATACCCATTACACATCTCATTCCACTTGGATGTTCCACAAGAACCTTGAACTCAGTACATTTAAAAAATTCTCCCAGAGAAGCAAGAAGAACTACAATCCTGCAGCCTGTGGAACAAAAACCACATTCACAGAAAGACAGACAAGATGAAAAGGCAGAGGGCTATGGACCAGACGAAGGAACAAGACAAAACTCCAGAAAAACAACTAAATGAAATGGAGAGAGGCAATATTCCAGAAAAACAATTCAGAATAATGATAGTGAAGATGATCCAGGACCTCAGAAAAACAATGGAGGCAAAGATCAAGAAGATGCAAGAAATGTTTAGCAAAGACATGGAAGAATTAAAGAACAAACAAACAGAGATGAGCAATACAATAACTGAAATGAAAAATACACTAGAAGGAATCAATAGCAGAATAACTGAGGCAGAAGAATGGATAAGTGACCTGGAAGACAAAATCGTGGAATTCACTGCTGTGGAACAGAATAAAGAAAAAAGAAAGAAAAGAAATGAAGACAGCTTAAGAGACCTCTGGGACAACATTAAACACAACAACATTTGCATTATAGGGGTCCCAGAAGGAGAAGAGAGAGAGAAAGGACCCGAGAAAATATCTGAAGAGATTATAGTCAAAAACTTCCCTAACATGGGAAAGGAAATAGCCACCCAAGTCCAGGAAGCGCAGAGAGTCCCATACAGGACTCTAAACCCAAGGAGAAACATACCGAGACACATAACAATCAAACTGGCAATAATTAAAGACAAAGAAAAATTACTGAAAGCACCAAGGGAAAAATGACAACATACACGGGAACTCCCATAAGGTTAACAGCTGATTTCCCAGCAGAAACTCTACAAGCCAGAAGGGAGTGGCATGATATACTTAAAGTGATGAAACAGAAGAAACTACAACCAAGATTACTCTACCCAGGAAGGATCTCATTCAGATTTTATGGAGAAATCAAATGCTTAACAGACAGGAAAAGCTAAGAGAATTCAGCACCACCAAACCAGCTCTACAACAAATGCTAAAGGAACTTCTCTAAGTGGGAAACACAAGAGAAGAAAAGGACCTACAAAAACAAACCCAAAACAATTAAGAAAATGGTAATAACATACATATCAATAATTACCTTAAACGTCAATGGATTAAATGCTCCAACCAAAAGACACAGGCTTGCTGAATGGATACAAAAACAAGACCCATATATATGCTGTGTACAAGAGACCCACTTCAGACCTAGGGACACATACAGACTGAAAGTGAGGGGATGGAAAAAGATATTCCATGAAAATGGAAATTCAAAGAAAGCTGGAGTAGCAATACTCATATC